AGAAAACGGCCCGCGGTCACAAGAACGTGTTTTTGCAAACGTGCCAGAGCAACTGTGCTGTAGTACAAGGTTCGGTCCAGCAGGTGGCTCTAATACTAACTTCAGCGACTACCTCGTTGTCCACGTTGAGTTTCCGTTTCTCTTCCTGTTTACATTCTGCTACTGCAGCTTATAGCTCAGTACGGATCTCGTTGTTTAGGGAAAGACACGTCTCACACTTGTCCACGTTGCTCTGACGCAAAGTGCAGCAGTTCAGTGGGTAACACGTGTGCGTGCACGTGTGTGTGTGTGCGCGCTGCCGCGACACGGGCGCGCGCCTGTGTGGCGTGCGATCAGAGCGACCGGAGCCAGGCAGGATACAAGTGTGTGTTGGTGTGTTCTGGCGATTAAATGAAGGCTGATTCTTGAATGCCTGAAGTGTTATTTCACCACACTGAGGGCGAGGGTCAGGACAGAAGGGAGTTATTCCCGTAGGAAACGCTTTTCTTTGGCCGTGGAGCGACACAGCCCCCTGCGCCCCTCGACCACTGTCCGGGGGCTTATATGAAAGGTTTAACACAAGCAGAGAATACAAAAGTGCAGGGGAGAAGTGTGAAAATGCGCGTCACAACGGAAGACGTGATGTGACGCACAATATGTGTGCAATATGTGCCCCCTCATCTGGGCTTTACAAAGCGTGCTCTGGCGAACCTCTCGCCAACCGTGCCCAAGCCCACTTGCCGCGGTCACATAGCACCTAAAGCCCGGATCTGATCGCAAAGTGGGCTCAGGTCCACTTTAACCGGGCTTTAGGTGCTGGTGCCGTGTGACCGCAGCAACTGGGCAGCCATGGCTGAAAGTGGTGAGCCTGGGCCCACTTGACGTGATGTTGTGGGTCACATTACATCTTCTTGCTGAGCCCGCTGTGACGTGAATTTTAGTCTCTCACTGCAGTTACCGACGTGGATAACTCTCTTCTGTTTTTGACACTTGCTGTCAAGGCGCGCTCCCATTTTTTTTACACGCACACGTACACACACAAAATTGGAGAAAGACACATCTCACACTTGTAAGCAGAAAGAGAAACTTAACTTTGACCCTGAGGAAGTCGCTGAAGTTAGTACTAGCGCCTCCAGCTGGACCAAGCCCTTCTGACCGCGGGCCATCTTCACACCCCTGTGGTGACGATCCGGGCCACATGGCCTAGTTCGTACGTGACAACCGTGAAACAACTATATATTATAATTTTACTAAGATTTTTCATGCATGCCTTTATATCTATTTGTCTATAACTTGCTTGCACCATATACAAAAGCAAACTCATGTTACTTACAAAGACAATGATTCTAATTTTGATTATAAAACTACAACTAATACAGTAACACTATGTCTCTTATTATACAACTACTGCTACTACTACTACTACTATTACTACTAGAAATAGTACACTATAGTAATAGTGTAGTAATATTATAATGAAGTATAAAATTACGACAGGCTGCATGTGTATGTTTTCTCAGACGTGCCCAGACTGCTCCTCTCACCCGTCCAGTCTCTTCTCACCCCTCCCCCACCGTCCCATTCACATTCCTGCTTCCCATGCACAAGCGCCCCTCCCCCAACCCGCACAGACAGGGCATTCCTATGACGACCAGGCACACACACACGCAGACGCACACGCACGCACACACACGCACGCGCGCGCGCGCACACACACACACACACACACACACACACACAGGCTTGTTTACAATTTCACGCTTGGGTAAACGAGTGCTGGATCATTCATATATTCTCATTATTTCCTCCATTTTAAGACTGCACATCATTCTCATAATGAAAACCACTATCAAAACAAATACACAAATATATAATTAAATTTGGTAAATCCAATACATAATAGTTTCTTATCCCCAGAGTTATAGTGTTTTTAAACAGATTCAGCCAAATTCAAGGCTGTAAAAGCCACATTTGTAGTAAAAGACAGAAGGACCTTACATTTGGAACATTCAAAATTCTATTGAGCAAATTCATGTATTTACTTTTATCACTCAAAGTATCTGTTTTGTGTGTGTTCCCAAACTCTCACTAGAGTGTTTTCTTCACAACACAACTGCCAGAGCAAATGTAAAATATTGACTTTAAAATGTCTCCATTCTTCATATTGTTATGAACTAGATGTTTGCTTCCTCACAACATTGACATTATTCTCTCTTTATGGCATTAGGTCTCGCCCAAAGCTAAAATGACGTCAAAATTACACACAATTCTTGAAAATGTTGTATTCATTGTCAACCAATTTAGTTTTTTAGTTTTTCAAAAAAGAATAATCTCTTGAGCTTCGTCTGTTTATCACTCCTCCTTCTATTACCAATACAATCCTTTTATGTTTTAACTGTGTACCCTCTGTAATGCGGCATTGAGAGCATAGACAGGCGTTATATAAATAAAATGTATTATTATAAAACATCTATCACATATTTATATAATAGTCATATTTATATTAAGGAATATTAATTGTCCTTTTCCGCCCAATCAAAACAACATTGACTGCCCAGCAAATGAATCACAGTAAAAATTAAAGATAAATTGCTGGATGGGGTTTCTTGATGACAGCCAGTGTTGTACATATTTGTAAATAAAGCAGAATATTACATTTGTTTTAACAAGTCATTCAAACATAACAGCTTATCGTGACCTATTTACGCAACATAATAACTCCACCCAAAGGCCCCACACTGTTTCCCAAAATAGAGAAGGTAAAAATACCAATTGTCGCCGTGAGTCAATGGCTTTTACACCCCTCTTCCCCCACTCAGTTTCAGTGCAGGTCTATTGTAGCCTCTGCTTTTGTTGTGTAAATCACTATGGGGGGTTGTAGGGAATTTGAAAGGGGGAAGGTCTCACCACTTTTTTTCCCACCAAAATCCATTCACCAAAACAAAAATAATGAGCCAAACTACCGTATTTCTGGTACAAAAAAAGTCTTTTAATAATAATAAATATACTGAGGTAGATCCACTTCACATAGAATTCATCAGCATATTTTCCATCTCGTTCACACACACTCACACAGAAATATATAAACGTTCTACAATTATCAGTCCATTCCATAAGGCAGTGTAGCAAAATCCAGATGAATTTCTCTCTTACTTAAACGCCTTCAAAGTCTTGTTTAAGTCAGCCTGGAAAGTAGGCCAAAAGTTACTGAGGGCATTAGAGAGGCACCAGCTGGCGTGCGCTCCACATACAAGTCTGCGCACTTTTACGCACACAACGTCTCCAGAGCCAGCCGTGTCCATGGCGTCCCCGGCGTTCACAGAAATGCCCTTTTAAAGCAGTTTTTTCTCCCCTACTATCAGCACGCCGCTATAGCCATTGGAACGGGTATGGGGGATGGGCTGGCTCCGAGGTCACCACACGTCACGTAGTCCACCAAAACCACAAACTCCAGCTTGGCCTTTTTCAGCGGTAAAAAGTCCGGCACTATCGACGCGTTTCCCCGTCGCTTCCGTGACTGCAGAGCGTGCGTAAAAGTCCGCTCGGTCATGACTGGCTCCGGTTGCGTCACAGCGTCGCTAACTTCATCCATAGTGAAGTTTTCGCCCTCTATACACTGCGTTTCGGGGTTATGGGGCTCCTCGGTCATCTGCCCAGCGCCATATTCTTCCTCCAAAGCCGCGGAGTGGTACATATCCCGTGCGCTCTTCATAACCAGCGTGAGTAGCAGACTCCGGTGAAGGCGCAGACCTCCTCTTTGCGACCTGGAGGTGTAAAGTTTGCCCAAAGCCACCACCATTATCCGCTTGGCCTCCGCGCCGACCTCCATGCTTGGGGAATGCTGTGAGTAAAAGTGTCCGGGGGGAGCGTGTGTGGCGTAGACCGCTTCTCTGGGCGCAGCTGCAGACACAATACCAGACTCCCAGGCGCGCACTGCCTCTATTTATGACCTCGGTGACGTGCGCGCTCCAGGCCGCGCCCACACCGCTTTGAAAGGCTGGGATTACGAGCGTGTTGGGGTTGTTTTGTAAATACATCAGACACTCGAGACGTGATTTGGAGCTGGAAGTTGTTCGTGGGTTTAACGCCAATGCGACGTAGCCTCAGTGAGAGCCTTAGAGATAATAATAAGTTTAAATCTAGTTGTTTTTGGTGATGTTATGTTTGGGATCGAGAGAATCAATACTATAATAACCAGACAGAGGCAGCGAGCTTGTAATAACCTGGGAGTTTTTAGTATTTTTCAGACTGAACAAAAGAAAACAGAATTTATTTTTTGGGAATAAGGTTGCGCAAAAAAATAAAATAAAAATGTAAATGTTTATATAAAATTATAAAGGTTATGCAATTGTTTTCATTTCTAAAAAGTAAGAACATGAAAAATGGAAGAAAAAAGCTAATATTATTTCACCGGCTTCACGTTCAAAAAGGGCTGGCTGATAATTCTTTTTATTAATTAGTTGTTTAGATACCAAAAGGTCAGTCAACATGAAGTCGAGTGAGTTTTTTTTATATACATTTGACCAAAAACAAAGATTAGATTCTCATTTTGTCGTCATTCTGAGCCTTGTAAAAGTAACTCATTCAATATATCACGCCCAACATACAAACCAGTGTTAATCCAAGTTGTAAATTCATATTTGTTTTAAAATGTAGTCATTTTTGTTGTGTCTTGAGCGGGGCAGAATAATTCATCTCGTTATAGGAAAACTACCACCAATTTTAACATTACTCATCATACCTTTTCTACTCCCACTGCTAATATTATCAGTACTACTACACCTACTACTGTGGAATATCCAGACAGAGGCAGCGAGCTCACGCACTGGGAGTTCTTCTAAACAGAACCCTTTAAGATAAGATAAGATAGACTTTATTGATCTCACACCGGAGAAATGTACATGTCACATCTGGTATGGATAGAATCACTCAATCACTCAATGCAGGATATGTTCTGTACAAGACAAAGTGCAGTGACGTGACGTGAGCAAAGTGCGTCAGAACCGTCCGTGAGATATTAACACTAAAAGTCCAAACAATAAATGTACAACTGAGGTCTCCATGGTCTTAAAGTCTTTATATCTGAGGCCTTGAATTTTCTTCATGCTTGTCCAAAACACACTACTGCTACTACTACTGCTACTGCTGCTACTGCTACTACTACTACTGGTGCTACTACTACTGCTGCTGCTACTACTACTACTACTACTACTACTGCTGCTGCTGCTGCTGCTACTACTACTACTACTACTACTACTACTACTACTACTACTACTACTACTACTACTACTACTACTGCTACTACTACTACTGGTGCTACTACTACTGCTGCTGCTGCTGCTGCTGCTACTACTACTACTACGACTATTACTACTACTACTGCTGCTACTGCTACTACTACTACTGGTGCTACTACTACTGCTGCTGCTGCTGCTGCTGCTACTACTACTACTACGACTATTACTACTACTACTGCTGCTGCTACTACTACTGCTACCACGACTATTACTACTACTACCATTACTGCTACTACTACTGCTACTACGACTATTACTACTAATTCTACTACTACTACTACTACTGCTGCTGCTACTACTACTGCTACCACGACTATTACTACTACTACCATTACTGCTACTACTACTGCTACCACGACTATTACTACTACTTCTACTACTACTACTACTACTGCTACTACTACTGCTACTAGGACTATTACTACTACTTCTACTGCTACTACTACTACGACTATTACTACTACCATTACTGCTACTACTACTGCTACCACGACTATTACTACTACTTCTACTACTACTACTACTGCTGCTGCTACTACTACTGCTACCACGACTATTACTACTACTACCATTACTGCTACTACTACTGCTACTACGACTATTACTACTACTTCTACTACTACTACTACTGCTGCTGCTACTACTACTGCTACCACGACTATTACTACTACTACCATTACTGCTACTACTACTGCTACCACGACTATTACTACTACTTCTACTACTACTACTACTACTACTACTACTACTACTACGGGCGGCACGGTGGCTGAGTGGATAGCACTCTCGCCTCTCAGCAAGAAGGTCCTGGGTTCGAATCCCGGTTGGACCAGGGCCTTTCTGAGTGGAGTTTGCATGTTCTCCCCGTGTCTGCGTAGGTTTCCTCCGGGTGCTCCGGTTTCCCCTACCACTAAAAATATGTACAATAGGTATGGCATGTGCCTCCTGTACTGATACCCCCACCCAACAATTGTAAACCGCTTTGAGACTCCGATGTGCAGTGAAAAGGCGGTATATAAATAAAAGCTTACTTACTTACTTACTTCTACTACTACTACTACTACTGCTACTAGGACTATTGCTACTACTACTACGACTATTACTACTACTTCTACTACTACTACCATTACTGCTACTTCTACTACTACTACTACTCCTACTACTTAAACTGGGCCTGCTAACCACTCTTCCTCCCCACTTCTTATCCTGCTACTATGACAACGTTGTTTTCGGTAAAGGTTTCTTCATTGAGGGAAACACATTTACAGTACAATCCTCATCGTGATTTCATTTTTATAACTCACTCATCCCTTTCTACCCCGATCCCCACACACTCTGTCATTTACAAATCAGATTTTTTCCCCTCAACATGAATATTATTTCTGGCTGCAGCGCCTTTCCTTGAGTGCATGTTGGCCTAGTTCACGTCACGCTCTGTCCATTTGCCACATTTGTGTTACAGAAATAGCCCAGTCTGCCTCCCACACAGTTGTTTCCACCTCCTCCCCCTTCATGGCGTCTCTTCCTCTCACAGGAAGTAGAAAGGCGGGGGGGGGGGGGGGGGGGCAGGCTTGCCCATATATAGCGCATCCTGTCGCGTTGGCACATACGGAGGAAACCCATGACGTGAGTCGGGGCCATGTTTCCTGGTCTGCTTCCCCCGTGCCCATATTAGGACAATGGCACGCAGTCTATGGTTTTGTCTGTGAACAGGAAATTACGGCTTTGCTTTGTTAATGAAGGCGCAATAACAAAGAACTGATTAGTAAAATAATAATAATCACGAGGGTTATAAATTATATATACACAAATATACATGAATAAATAATTAACGGTTCTAAAATATATAGACACAGTAGATTAAAATCGAGAGAGATTCTGACAGTGCATTTCTATGTTTGGTTTGATTTATTGTGAGTCTAATATTGACCAAACCTCGCACTGTTCATGTGTGAATCTGTACTAAGCGCCCTCTAGTGGCACAATGGCCTAAACTAGAAACATAGTAAATAAATGATGTCAACAGTTTATAGTAAAGCGTCACTCATCTGTTCTAAAATGTTTAGTCACCGGTGGATTATTATTATCATTATATTATATCAATTTAAAATGAGAGCAAAGAGCATTTCAGAGCAAAGAAAAAGCCATCCTAATATCCTTAAATTGGAATATATTTTCGTAAAACACAACTTGATAATGTCATATATGACTCATGAAAAACTAATAAACAAAAAACATGTGAATTTATGTCTAAAACAGTAATAAATCCCCCGTCTGTAAAATTGAAGACCGTTTAAAGGCCTTCATTTCAAGTGAAACGATCAATACTAAATTAACCCTGTGGTTGTTTTAAAGACGACTCATTATACTTTTATTCAAAACAAATCACATAGATCTTTCTAAAAGTTCATTTTGCATAATGTGGCTGTATCTGACGCTTTACATGTCATTGAGAATTCTTTCACTCCATACACTGTGGTGTTAAACTACTACGGTAGCCACAGCTGCCCTGGGGCACACTGATCGAAGCGAGGCAACCTGTATGTGCCATCGGTCCCGCCAACCACCACCAACCATTCACACACACACCAGACTCATTCTAGGCAATTTGGGTGAAGTGTCTTGCCTAAAGACACGGCAACAGTTTGGCACATGACAGCCGCCCCAGTGTGGCACCTGGTGTTCCCAGAGGTCTCCCATCGCAGCACTAACCAGGCCCTGCCCTGCTTCACAGGTCTGACGGCAACTATCTTTCGCATGCAAGCTTGGCCACAATGCCTAAGATGTAAAAGAATAACCCTGTGAGTCACTATTTGACCATTAGGGCTGATTGATGCTGCTCCTCTTTTTGCTCCTGAAAACACTGATCTAAAATGTTAGTTGCCTAGATACATTACGAAGGCTAGCGACGGTACCAAACTTTCGACAAGGAGATGGATCTTACATTTTAGTGTGGTTTCAAAGTTAGGTCCCGAAGCTTAAAGAGCCGCCGTTATTCCCATCACTGTTGGTGGCCAACTAGAATGGTCTTTCTGACAAAATGTCAGTCAAATTATAGAAAACACAATTAAGACACATCCATAATAGATTGATGATTTCAATACTAAAAAAAAAAATACAAAAAAAAGGAAAACAAGATGGAATTACTCATGAGACTAATTGTGATTACTCATTTGACGGACGGCATTTTATTATTATATATGTAATTGTTAACAATTTATCACAATATTTACAACTCTTTCACTTTTGTAAGTGAGGAAGTCTTGCCCATCATTTCGAGTGCTTGTACCTCAACCTTTTCCTTTTGCTTTATAACACAAAGCTCATGACCTATGCGCACATAGACTGAGCGATTAACCAAGAGCGATATAGGACTGCACACCCGCAACAACCGTCTGTCAATCACTCGCTTCAGACCTTGAGGATACTTGACTGCTCCAACTATGGTTCGTGCTGAAGGCAGGGCTCCCATTTGCAGTGGAGCCTCACGGCCCTCAAAATGTGGATAGTTGCTGATCTCTATCCCCCACCT